CAAGTTCCACAAGCAACAACGACTTATCCAAGTGACTGCTGCAGAATGCACGTGAGAGAGAGACGAGGCAGCGCAGATCGCGCGTCTCATAAGTGAGTGGGAATTTATCGAACGTGGCACTTGCGGGAGTTAACACTGTACGCAATACCCGCAACCTCACACCAAATTTCAGGCCGTGTAGATAGGCAAGCATATATACAAATCATTTAGTAAGCAGAAATCCGAAATTTACCTCAACATATTAAGTTAGAGGAAGTTGCGACTGAATTTATGCTTGAAGAATGCGCTTCCAGCAGCCATGATAAACAGTTGGCGGTTAAAGTTTTCTATGCACAATTTGATTTGAGGAAAGTCACGAGACCTATTACTCTCTATCCAATCACATTGATGGATAAAAATTTAATTAAAATAAGCATGTAACGACCACAAACGGAGAAAAATAGCGGAGTAAAAGTACCGATACATCACTTAAAATGTACTCAAGTAAAAGTAAAAGTACACAATTTTTAAACTACTCAAAAAAGTACAATTACTGATAAAAACTACTTAATTACTGTAACGTTAGTATTTGTAATTCGTTACTTCACACCCCTGGGGGTGGCTTATCGGAAAAATTGTGATACCTTTTTTTCGCTTGATTTTAACATGACCCTGCGAGCCACGGTTGCTCATAATGAATTGTCTCTAATGGAGATTGTGTTGCAGTGAAACCGGGCTCAATTTCACCAGGCCGAGGTTGCAGTGAATGAAGGGCTCCCGGGGATTCGCCGCCGCATGTTCTCAGGAGAAGCGTGCAGCGTTCACACGCTAATAACATGCTCGAGCGAGCAGGTGCAGCTGCTTCTTGGCGAAATAATCTGCAATCATTATGTTGTTATGAAAGGCGTGATCTGACAGAAAACTGATCGTTGAAACAGGCAAGGTTAAAGACTTTATTTGGGCAAGAATTTATTTATTTATTTATTATTTTTTGCAATTTTTATTAATTTTTATTTGTTATTATTAGTTAATGTTTTTCTGAGTCTTCTGACTACTTTTTTTTATTTACTTTTTTAAGCATTCTGAAATCATATGAACAAACTGAAGTTTAGCTTTTTTTTTTTCACCAAAAATCTTCCCAACTGCTCCTCTGAAATAATTTTACATTTCAGTGAATTGTTTCTTTATGTATCTTTTAATTAACACGCATCAAGGAAATATGAAGTAATTTTAAAAATGGTCTAGGCCTAGAAAATTCATGGAAGTGACTGCTGGGAACCGACAGATACTGTTTATTTACTAGATTTTACAATTATGACTTATTGGAGACATTTGTACCATAAAGTAGTTATATAAATCTATTCATAAATCATTTTTAATTAAAATAGTAATTATGAGTGAATTGAAAGAGTAATGAAAAAATCATGGAATTTTATTGTCCAAAATGTTTGGAAACCATGAAAGCTGCATGCATAATAATTATAATAAATTATAAAATGCAGATTAAAATTGTTTTAGATGGAGTATAGTAGGCCATGTCAGCTTCCCAAAAATATTTAATGTCGACTACTCACTGAAAACTAAATAATGTTGTGTCAAAGCCATAGATACTTGTTATATTTTATAAAATGTCCTTAGTTTATTTCTAGACATTTATTGTATACAATAAATACATATGGATGCTTTGGTTTGTTTGATTGAAACATGAATTTGATGGAAACAAGAATAATGACGTGGATGAGCAGAATAAAGCTCCACAAGCTTCTTTGTTTTGGTTTCACTGGTGAGTGGAGCGCTGAAGAAACATGGAGACACAGCAGATTTATTGATTTTGTTAACCTGCAGTAATCCACAGCTCATTGAACCACTGGGTCAGGACTTTGGGTTATTGCAGGGTTTTGTGTGCCTAGAAAAGCGTGAACGTTTCAATGCCTGCGCTGTGTTTACCAGTGGCAGAAAATATTGTTAGTGTCTGGATTTCCATTAATGGTTGTTTCCGGAACAATGCATTATATGAGAGGAGAGTTTGTGCACAGCAGGAAGTGTGCAATAACATTGTGGTGTCAGTGCAGATTCATTTTGGGACCTGACTCAATGCTGCTTTTATCAAATTTCCAAAGTGCTACAACAGGCTGCAAAATTCCTGTTTTTATTTTGGTTTTGTGTTGTTTGTTTGCATTGTGTGTGATTATTACTATTATATTATTTTCTCTTTTACGTCACACTGTGATGATCTAAATGACTATTAAGATGCCTAACTTTATGTTTGCTTTTTGATTCATTTTTTTTTTTTGTGTGTGTTTTTGTTTTTATTTGCTTCTTGTGTTTTGTTGTTTTTTGTTTTGCCTTGTTGTCTTTTGTTTGCTTTTTGCTTTGTTTTTATTTTGGTTTGTTTTGTTTTGCATTGTTTGTTATTTGTTTTGCATTGTTTTTTGTTTTCTTTTTGTTTTGTGTTTTTATTTTGGTTTGTTTTGCATTTTTTTATTAGTTTTTGTCATTCGTTTTGTTCTGAATCAAACTTCTTGTCTAATGTTTAGCTTGACTTGTAGTTTACTGATATTTTGTGATTTAATTCAGTGTCATTCATATATTTTCTTGTACAAGTATTCACAGAGCAAATGTCTCCACTTACAAAACATCTCCAGAATTAAGAGACAAGTCTGTAAATGTAGTTTGACAGCCCCAATCAGTCAGTCTGTCAATCATAAATCTCAACTGTCAATCTCAAATGTCTTCACCTCGCAGGGGTTGCAGACAGGGACACGGGAGCTGGAGGAGATGGGAATGAAGTTCAGCCAGAGTTTTCTCACCCTCAGGAGTAACGCCATCCATTATAACAGCCGTCTGATTCACCACGCATATGCCCTGTTAGACCTGGACGACAGGCTTCTCCACAACAAATCCAATAAGTGAGTTTTAAATGAATGTATTTTGACCAAAGACACATCTAGGGCTTCAAAACTCATCAAAAGAGACCACAATAAAAAGTTTTTTTTTTTTCTAAATCAAAGGTTTAAAGTCAATACTTTAAAACAGTGCTCCTCTGCTGGGTTTGCTTCAGATACAGATATTTCAGATTTGCAAATACCACAGAGTCTAATTAGACACATAGCCTTAAACAAAATGTTAAAAACAATGGATATTTGAATCATTTTCTGCTCCTATTTAAGTAAGACTGTTAATTTGAAAGATAAATCTGTATTTTATTATTGGAATTTAGCATACTAACAGACACTTTTTGTTATTATGTGCACATTCTGCTGGCCTTGTGGGATTTATATTCGATAACTGTAATTGTCTGTAACTATATTATGATAACGATTCCGCTTCGGTGGAGCAGAATGAAAATAAGAGCTAGATGTAGTATTTAAGCAGTGATAAAGGCACTGCATTATAAATATACTTTATTTTAATGAAAATTATAATAATAAGAACTCCGATAAACCGTATATTGCCGTAGTCGTGTGTTTATTAGTCGCGTTGAATCAATGAAAGCAGTTGAATCTACTGTTTATTCAGCTGCAGTGATAGGCATTTTCTGGGTTTTTTCTGAGGCGTATTTGGAGTTTCAGCGCGAGAGCGCCCTCTGGCCTTTGGATGGAGATTTACTGCTGATCACAGAACCGGGCTTCACTGAAAGATACGCATGACAATCGCAGCTTCTGTCGAATCGCGATCTCGATTCCATTTCGATTTATCGTGCAGCCCTAGATGTACATTTCCTGAAGGAATAAGCCCACAGCAGCAAAGGAATAGCCAGTTTTTTTTTTTATTATTATTTGGAAAGTTGATGGAGGTTCTCCAATAATGGTTCACTTTTTATGATTATTTGAGTCAGATTTTCTGAAGAAGGTCAACAATAACAATCATCTCAATTTCACTTGTAATTATTTTATATATAGCTTTTATATGTCACTGTTTTGCAAAAAAAAATAAAAAAATAGTGTACATTTTATATTAATACTAAGTTGCATTTTTTTTAATTTTTATTGTATTATTTTATATATTGTCTGCTTTTAAATGGATGTCAGTCGAGCATTAAATCAATGGGAGATTAAACCGTTTTAGATTATTAAAAGTTTGTAAAAACTAAAAATACATAAATGTAAGGCTGTAGACTGAGTAAATGAGGTCGTTTGGAGCTGAATTAATTGCAGAAATGTGTGATAAGATGAACTAGATTAGTGACTGCATGAGAGTAAATGTTAATTAAAATTTTAGGATTTGGTTTTGGATAAATAAAAATTCCGCATTAGAGATGTTTTGCCGATTTAGCATATTGCAGAGTTGCAGTTGACAAGGGAGGCAGCCATTTTACTTTGGCTTTTTAAATATGATCTCGAGCTGAGGGACATGGACAGAGATTCATTCAGAGTGCATCGGCTGCCTTTCAAGTTTTCAATTTGCCACTAAAGGGGTTTCCTGGGAGCACTGCCACTTTCGCTGTTTTCCTTTCGTCACTCCAACTCCTTTCTTCTCCACTCATACTCTTTTTCTCCCCTCTCCCTCTCTTTTTTTCCATTCCCCAGCATCCTCAAGTTAAAATTCACTTAGAGTCTTGATTTCTGTCGTGGAATGAAATGGACCAAAGCTGAGCTATTGATTTCTACGAAGTTCAATTAAATCCCTTTTGTGTGCGTTTTGAATTGTTACATCTTGTCCACACAGAGTGCTCAGTGTTCTGAGGAGATTATCCCACCCCTCTCTCTCTTCTCCAGGATTTCACAACGTTTCTATTGTTCCCCTTTCTTCTTCATATTATTGAAGAGAAAACGATAAACTTAACCGGTCCTACCCGAGAGTGTTGCGTAACTGAATTATGCGCAACTGCAGAATGCTGCTTACGAGCCTTGTCAGATTCAGCTAAGCTCTTGATGGATGTAGAATGTAGCTCATTTTTTTACTTTCATAGACAAACAAACTTTTAATATGAAGCAAGAACAACGTATTGGATTGAAATAACTGCAACATTTGACAAATCATGTAAAATTTGGGTTCCATGATTTATCTATACCATTTTTTTGATAGATAGATAGATAGATAGACAGACCAATACTGAATATTTATTATTTTATATTTATTTTAATGTATTATTTATTCTGTATTTTTATGTTTGTTTATTTTTGTATTTATGTTATATATTTATTTTTTATTATTATTAAATTTTTATGTTTGTTTTAGTGGCAAAATCCCTGTGACCTACATAGGACAAACAGTTTGGTAAATGGATGGATAAATGTTTATTTTTATGTTCCTATATTATATTTATATTTATATCATCTTTTGTGCACTCAATAATAATTTATTAACTTTGATAAATGTTATCTTTATCAGATCTTACAAGGATTTTTTTTTTTTTTTGGCTATATATTGTAATATTGTAATTGATCAATTCACTTGTGGCATTTAAAATGACCGATATTAGGTTTTAGAATTTTTATTTTTTTATTTATTTTTTATTTAGACAAAATAGTATAACATTTTAATATCAGCCATTAATCAATTATGAGCAATAATATGAAAATAATTATTGGTGGAAAAGAACTGACCCAAAAGAACATCAGAAAAATAAATAATGAAAAAGTCAATTGTATTTAAAGGTTAGAGTTAGGTTGAGTCTTCAGTCACTAAGTTTAAAGCTAAACAATTCGTAAAACACTAAATGTCAATGGAAAGTCCATATTTAGCTAGCTTTGTAAATGTGTGTGTGTGTGAAGGAGAGAGAGAAAGTGTCTCTATTAAGGACGTCTTTTCTGCTTTAAGGTCTGTAGTGATTTGATCAGTTTCTTTTGACAGCCAACACAGCAGATGACAACAGATGGATATCACTTTCCACTCAAAAGCAGTGACCAGCGGCTTCACAGCTCGAGTCGTATTATGCACCGCCTCACTCTCCTCTCCACGCTGCTTTCATTGTGCTTTATGTGAGTCAGTCCAGGACAGCCGGCTCTACTGACCCCACACATCCAAAATCATCCCAGACAAAGTCATGGTTAATTCACCTCAAGCCCCAGACACAAAAGAGAAGCGACCACTTCAAGAGCTGACAGGAAGCCCTTTTTGTTTGTAACTCCTCTGTGAGGGAAGCAAATCCACACTCATATGGATGCTATTTTCCTGCCCAACACTTTTGGTTATGCTCTTCCGAATGAAAAGTAGCCGACAGAACGCTCAATACCTGCTAGATGTGAAATAAAACCCGACGGCTCACAGGAACACTCCGGCTTTCTTCATATTAAAGGGATAGTTCACCCAAAAATGAAAATTTGATGTTTATCTGCTTACCCCCAGGGCATCCAAGATGTAGGTGACTTTGTTTCTTCAGTAGAACACAAATGATGATTTTTAACTCCAACCGTTGCAGTCTATCAGTCGTATAATGCATGGCAATGGTAACAAAATCTATGAGAGTAAAAAAAACATGCACAGACAAATCCAAATTAAACCCTGCGGCTCGTGACGACACATTGATGTCCTAAGACACGAAACGATCGGTTTGTGCGAGAAACCGAACAGTATTTATATCATTTTTTATTAATCGTAAAAAACGTAATCTTTTCGTTTTAAGTCGGTTTGAACAATCCGGATAAGCGAAGTAAGTACCATTTTGATTAGCCGTCGTACCTACAATGACAAAAAATTATATAAATACTGTTCAGTTTCTTGCACAGACCGATCGTTTCGTGTCTTTAGACATCAATGTATCGTCACGAGCCGCAGTGTTTAATTTGGATTTGTCTGTGCATGTTTTTTTTTACTCTCATAGATTTTGTTACCATTGCCATGCATTATACGACTGATAGACTGCAACGGTTGGAGTTAAAAATCATCGTTTGTGTTCTACTGAAGAAACAAAGTCACCTACATCTTGGATGCCCTGGGGGTAAGCAGATAAACATCAAATTTTCATTTTTGGGTGAACTATCCCTTTAAGGTCTATCATATTTTGTGTGTCAAAAGTTCAGCTTTTTTTGCCCTAAAAAGTCCACAGAATTGATTTTCTAATAATAAAGCATGACTTTTTTTGAATAGGTTCCATGATGGGCTTCTATCAAAGGCCATGCGTCGAAATGGAAAGGTTTATTTTTTGCATCTGACCCCAATTTTATTCTCTTTAGAAACACTTTCTGATGACGTCACTTAACAGCAAGTGTTTCATTATCTATGGAACTAAAGACGGCCAAATGCCGCTTTTGATGCCGGAACCCTTAGAAGATAACAAGCTCTCATAAAAACGGCTTTGAACGTCTCCACACCTGTCATGACATCTTACATTACAGCTTGACACATTTGTTGGGTTCTTTCATTACGCAGTTTGGAAATGAGTCCCCGTGGTATGTTCTGGCTCGCTCTGTAATTCCTCCCGAGTTCGATTTCTTTTCTTCCCCCACATCAGAACGGTTCGCCAAAGTCTTGAAGTTGAAAGATTAGTAAACCATGAAACATATTGGATTGTGAGACACAAAGGAGATCTTTAGAAGTGTAAACAAACAAACAAACGGGCAAGAACAACAACAAATAATGCTAAATAATAATAACTGCAGTTGATTATTATAATTCTAAATATTTCCTCTACAATTCCAACCAAATTTACATGCCAGTTGGCAAGTTTCATCCATTTGCAATTGTCCTCAGATTCACCCAGCACCTCCAGCTATTCCAACAATGAAAATTGAGCCGACTTGGGAAACTTATTCCATCAAAAGTTACCACAATCTACATTAACTTGTTAATCCACTCTGAAATGACAGTCGTCCTTCAGGAAAATGAGGAAGGTTGAACCTGCCAGTTAGCTTGCTTCATTTCAATTTATTTAGACCATTTAAGAAGTCTTTAGAGCGAAATAGGCATGCATCACGCTGCTTTCCAAGGCAGTCTTCATCCTTTTATTTGTCTGAGAGAAAGCAGG